TCGCGAGCGTGCGCGGCGCGCATTAGTAGTGACGTAATAATGAAAAAGATGGGATATGAATGCGCACTCGTATGTGAAAATTTTGTTGATGTCTGTTCCGCACGCTTATGAAACTCGTGTGTATATTCTCGATACAAATCGATGGATCGCGGCATCGATAGAGGTTTATCGATAGAGAAGATACCCATTTGTATCCGTAATCGCGGAGGTTGTGGGATATCGTTGCAAGCTAAATCGTATCTATCTTACAGAAATGAGAATACAGAAAGGCGATGCGGTTGCCGGCAAGAACGTCTGGCGAACCTTTAGCTTAATTGTAGCGTTTAATCGCGACGGGCGGGTCCCTCGATTAATTATTTAAACCCCCTTAGGCTAACGTTGAATTAATGGATGCGGCACCGCAATGTTACCGCGGTATCGATAATTCCGCAATTCTGTGAGACCCCTATTAAACCGTCGGGTCCGTGCCAGGGACACGTGCCGCTTGTAGAATATAGATAACTCGTTTGTACATCTCATGTTTACGATTATGCCATTATTGCTGCCGCTATTGACGTCTTGTTTTCTCGGCAAGCCCACTTGGGGTGATATAGCGGGATTAAAATAATTGAATTGGAATTCGGTGAAATCGGATGGAATTTCTGAAAACATTTCTCTTGGATTGCCTTTCACTAAGAACGGTAATATAGTTCCATTTTCTTGATCTTTTTTTGTAATTCTTCTGAATATATCGTGATTCAAGTATAATCGCGATGGATATTTTCCAGTATAAACTTCTCTTGCTAATGAGATTGAACCAAGATGACACCGAGCTTTTTTGAAATAATCGATATCGTTCACCATTTTCCAATTTCGATTCCCGTCGTATAGACAGTAAGGCAATAAGCGAAATGTCTATTTCCAAAGGAATTTAAAAAAAGACAACAAAATATCATGACATTAAATAGAAGTGGCATCTATGTGTCCCAGATATTTAAATTATTTGAACATGTAAACTTCTGTCAAATTTTGATTTGCGAGACAAGATTTTGTATAGTAATGATTTTTAGAAGAGACTTGATTAAGCACTTAAATCGTATCTCATTATATCAAAAACATGAAATAAAAGAGAAATAAATAATATAAATAAAAATTTAATAAACTATACTTTGTTTTGTGTAACAGTATTTTAAAGAATAAAATATAGATAATATTAATTTATATAGCTGATAATAATGTAATTATGCAATTTTATTCTGAATTTATATATTTTCATAAAAAATTTTTATTTTAAAATAATTTATATTCATATTAATAATTTATATTCATTATATGTACATATTTGCAATTATAAAGATTATAAAGATTTTTATGAAATTTATTGAGATTCTTAAAAAAATATATCATCAAAAGATTTCGTTATAAGAAATGATATAATAGTAAAATTAATATAAATAAAAATATGTTAATTGTAATAAATTCAAACTAATTTTATTTTGAAATTTTTATCTTTTTATTATTGTTATTTATTAATTATTGAATATTTAATTCTGTTTCTAATAAAATATTAAAATAAATATTAATTAATTCCTTTTTAATTATATTTTCATTCATAAGTTCAATACTTTTAAAGGGGATATGATTTCAGAAAACTTGTAAGCCTTTTCAGCATATTACAAAAAGACTTATTAATTTGTTGAAACCTTAAATATATAATAATAGATTTGAAACATCAAGTATATAATTTCTAGCATTTATTTGCATAAATCAATACTAAATAGGAAATACAATAAAAAATAGCATAAGTGATACATATCTGGCAACTTTTCTCTACATCTTGTATTGTTATGACATTTATTGTCAGGAATGAAAATTGCCAATTAAATTTTTATTAATTTATCCTAGAGCATTTCAACGTGAATTTTTGCGAGAATCTTGCATGCGTTATCGTCCGAACGCTGCACCGAGGAATATGCGGTAATCAAGGGACAAAGCATTATCATGATTTCCTCATGGTGTCAGAGACGCAGCGAGTCGAGGCGAGTTGAATCGAGCTGAGCGAGCCAATCGTTCTCCTTCCATTTGCAAATTAAACGGTCACGTTCTTGATTTCAATTCTACGGAAGGCGATTCCCCCGAGTTTCCAATGTAACTTGTCTTAAACTTGGCGACCAGACGTTTAATCTTAATCGATCTACCCGCCTTATCGCGCCGCCGATGTATATCAACATTTTTCCATTTCCACCGCTCCGACATCTCCATCGACCTTCCCACCACTTTCGCCTCTATCTCGTTCATCCCCGCTTTCCTTCCTCCCTCCCTGTCTTTATCCACGTTCCTTTTCCATTCTGTTCGACCTCCCCTCCGTTATTCCAGCCGTCGATTTCTTTCCGTCGGCCCTTCTCGCCTCCCGTTTTACCGCTTTCCCGCAGCCTCGACTGGAGGGTACGATTCCTTACGGATCCCGCAACTACTCCCGTTCGGAGGCGGGCGAACTACTCATCCCCCTCCCCACCCCCTCTAGCTGCCTCGAAGTCTTATCTTAATGGCACGCCTTGGCAATCGAAAGTTTAGTTATTATCGCGGCCGTTGTCGTCCCGCTTCGCGAACTGTACCGTGAATCCCGCGGAAGTGTCTTAGATATTAGATAGAGTTTGCGAAAATTGCCAGGTTGACGGCCACGGATACAAGAAACGAGCTCGATCCTTGCGCGACGACAATTCTCAAGCGGATGACAAATATTTGATCGGGCCAAATCATGCGAAATAAGAAAAATGCTGCTGAAGCGAGTTCGATTCGATATGAACTGGAAATCATCGAGCGATCGCGACTTCGAATCGACCGCCGTCGCCGTAAATATCAATTATCGTTTTACTCGCGCCTTTATCGAGGACATCGTTTCCAACGATCTTTCTATTCCGTCATTAAGGGGACCAGTTTATATATACACACACACATACACGTACAATTACAATCGCTGTTCTCGAGAATGTACAACTTCTTCGGCACACAGTCTCTCCAAACAGTTGATAATGAAATGTTTCTACTGTTACCGCAATGAGAATACCGTAGATATTCGCTAGTACCAACGTCAACTCATTAACAACGTCTCATTACTGACGCGGTAACCGGGTCAATTACTCATAAGTTCACTCTTAGCGCTCAAGAAGCCACAATGTGATTCTCATGACACATATATTTAACTTACTATTGTATTTAACCGAAGTTACATATTTAATCGCTATTATATTTAATGCGTTTCTGGAAGATGTATATTAAATTGCAGATGTATATTAAATTGCGTTATGTTTTTTTATTAGTAAATTCCGATCTCTTTCTTGATAAATGAAGATCGGGCATGTTTTGTATAAGAGTATTTTTACTATGACACTTTAAAGTTTTAGGTTACCTTTTTTCGAGAGGAAAACAAAGCGGAAGAAATACAGCTGTTATAAAAGATGAAATATGAGTAGAAAACGTGCGATAAATGTTGCGCTTGTTGGTCACCACTTTGGGAAAATTGATCTCGAACGAGTGGGTAATGCATATAAAATCAACTGATAAAATTGCCTACGTTTGTTTCGAGGATTTTCACGAGATAAAGCCTTTTTAGGTTTCTTCAGCGATCCATCACCGGGCCCCTTTGATGTTTATCAAGCGCCTAAGGTAAAATTTCGCGAGGATATCTCCAAAAGACGCCAGATTCTTGCTGGACCTTCTATTGAATTATTCGACAAGAAATATGAGCGTATTTTTGAAGGCGAGGCACTTACGGAACTATGGCGGGAAGAGGCAAAACAACGGGTAATATATTCATAAGAGAAACTACTAAAAAAATATCAATTTGAACTCTCAAAAATAAAATTTCAAGAAACTAAGAGCACTTGTGTGCAAGGTCTGTTGCTTTATCGATTAAGATTTAAACTTTAATTAAACCTCTGTCAGAGAAATTTATACCCTTCCTTAGAAAGTACCGTTTAATAAAGTTTAATTATAATTTTTTTTATATGCACGGTTACAACGCGCTGATCTAGCTGAAACTATCTAGTTAATCATTTACACTTGATTGAACAACACATTATCAAAATTTTGTCATTTGAAAAATTTTTAATTCTATTTTTATATAGTCTCTATAATCTAATATTATCATTATATTATGTCAATATTATCATTATATTACATCATGTTATTAGTATTAATCTAATTTGCTCGTTTAAATTTTTACTTTGACGAAAACGAAGGAAAGAGATAAATCTTTGTAACTTTGATATGTTTTACAAGTATGTAAATGTTTTCAGATAAAGGATGAAAAGAGGAAGATTGGTGGTCCTATGGTACCGACATCTCCGTCGAAGAAGCACTCGACGCCTGGAGATTGGTACGGATGCTTTGCTAAATCTTCTTACTTTAGTCCGCAATTCAAGGTGGAAGTGAGAAAAAAGGCGCCAGCTCCACCTAACATGAAGATCAAGCCCAATCCGCTCGGTGGCCCAGGATACGCGAATATTGGCCTGAGTCCTTATCCGTCATACTCTCACGAGCCTTACGATCGCATCGGAAGAGTAGTTGGCAAAAGTAAATGCGTTTCCGTTATACCGATCCAATCTCCTCCGTTTCCTCAGACGACTCTCGATAAACTCGAATGTATAATTTTTAATGAGCGACATACGTTGGGAATGGATGCCTTTAAGATCGCATCATGTTTCTTTTTTTTTTTTTTTACGTTATCTGAAACAGAGTGAAACTACTACCCGTTCGCAACTGATAGAGATTTATGTTAGAACGAGTTTATTTCGATATTGAGCTGAATATGATTAGACCGGGAGTCACGTATATTCGCGCTGCTGTCGGATAAGTTTCTTTCTCCCTTTTCTTATTTTATTATGTGTATTATAAAATACTTTGAAATCTATAATTCTTCTGTTACGAAATACTCTGTAGATCGTGTACGACGAGAAAATTGATAAGGCCTATCGTGCATATATCATGTTTTCGTTGTAAAAATTTTCTTGTATGTTATTTTTTGTTATTTATACGTTTTCTATGTTGTGACTACTTGTGACTTTTTTAAAAATAATTATATATCTAATTTTGTAAATAATATCTATATAAGTGAGTAACAATTATTTTTGGATAGTTTATATATTGATAATGATAACGAAATAATACATATTAATAACAATATGAAATTTTTCTTTATTTTTTTACAATCTCAATAGAATTTTAATTAAATAATTTTATAAAATTTCAAATTATTTTGTTATTTTTCAATTATCTCATGTATATAACGTACTCAGAAGAACTCATTATAATGCGAAAAAATGATAATGAGAGTATGAAACACAGATGTAAATTGTTTTCTTTCAAAACACTTCCTTCATTTGATATAACAACATATAATTAATTATGGTTTAATCATAAAAAAAAAGGAATTGTCTGACGCTTTTGAGAGAAATATTTCTAATTTTTATGTAAAATATCTTCGGTAAAAACTTATGATAGCAATTAAATAAAATCTCAATTACTATTATAAATATTTAAAATTCTTCTTATACAGAGAATTACTTAAAAGCCCCTCGCGTTAAAAGCTTTTTGTAGATTCTCCGTAAACGGTGGAAAATTTCTTTTAATTTAAATACGAAGATTATTACAGAGGACTTTTTAATAAACGTATCGAAATAATAAATGTATATGAAATTCTTCTTTCCCGTCAATTTCGTAGCTTTAGTAATTAGGGATTCGTTCCGCTAATCGTCGATTACAGTTTCCCTCTCGTTAAATTTATATTCTAAATGTAAACCAACACTTTGGTGGAACAGAAGTGGTGTCTGAAGGCCGATTCCTGACGACTAGTGCGCCGTTGGATTATTTCCCCCCCAATCCTTACGAGGATGAGGAACCAGGGCCCACTTACGTCCGTCCGGTCGAGATTGCGAGGAAGACACTCGGTGCGGCGCGATTCTACATCCCTTTCCCCAAGAAACCTGGCGGAAGTCACGCTGGTTGCTTCAGCAAGTTTCCAGAGTACACCGGCGATCCTTATGTTAAGGCTAAGAGTAAAGCCGCTGCCGAGCCCAAGTTTATAAGCGGCGGGCCATTTCTACGTTCAAAATATACGAACAGTATTATCGCGCAGATAACACAAATATCGTGCAACGCCCGTAATTATTCGGAGTATCGAGAGCGGGTATATCCTGTACATTGAGTGAAATTTTAATTGTACAGAAATTAAACTCTCTCCAACCTTTCCTTTTTCGCTATTAGAGAAAAATTTCCTTCACATAATTATCATACTGAAATTAATTAAAAATAATTAGATGTTTCTCCCTTTGTCCCTTTTATTCACGATATTTTATACACGTTCGTGGTGCTCAACGTGAAATACTGTGAAAATACATCACTTATGAACATATCAAGAATTAGAAAAAAACAACATCTAACGAATCGAGACAATTACAAACGATATTGTTGTATTGATATCTGTGTAAATTTGTATGGTAGATCCGCTTTGAAAATTCCCAGTTGCCAAATTAAATTCGCCGTAGAATCCGTCCCGTAGAACTTCCGGAAGACATTGAATGCATTTCTGTTTCATCGCGTCCGCAATGCATGCGATTTCGCGTACTAGCGGAACATCGCCTTCTGCTATCGCGCTTCCGTTGTTGCGACATGTTGGGCCGACAAATCGCTTTTCAGCAATGGCTGGTGGCCAAGTACGGTTAAAACAGCATTCAGGCAGCAATCGAGCCCTTTGGGAAAGGGAATCGGTTCGGGACACGTTCGATCTTACGACTCTAATGAAATTCTAACGAATATGTTCTATCGCCATTGTCGTCCGAGTCCACTCTCGGCAATCGGGATTAAACGTCTCCAATAAACACCACGCATTCAACACGACAAAATCACTCGTAAAAAAGTTTGAAAGAACAAAAACGGCATCTTGTATTTAATTATGGACGGGAATATATGTATGCTTTTATCGTAGATAAACAAATATTCCTTTTTTTTTTAAATTTATTAAAGCTTAATTTTTAAAACCTTTTCTGAAGTTAATTTAATTAATAAAAACTTGGCCAAGTGTTCAATATTATACATTAAAGGAATATATTATTTATTTTATATTGCGACGAGTATATATATATATATATATATATTTTTTCACAAGTTGTCAGAAACGCAAAGAATGCTTTTCCATACAAAAAGGATCGTCGCGTGTGGCGTATTTGGTAAGTTTGTCGTTTTGTATAAAAATAATACGTCGGGCTTTTCGATTACGGCTTACGGTATTTCCGCTACGGAAAACAAGACGGATGGTAAATTTTTCTGGCAAATGAACTTAGTATCTTAAACCGGTTTGCGTGAAGTCTCGCGCGCCGCCACGTCAAGGCGCGCTACGTATAGAAATGCAATAAGCGTTTCCGCCTCTGAAAAATTTCTCGTGGAGCACGTGGCAGACAAGAAATGGCAGCGGGTGGGTATGATTCCACGAGATTTATTCCGTGGTTGAAGCCGACCATTTCTCCGTGCCGTGTCGTTGCGCCGGTATTAAACATTCCAGGCATTGCGATGCCTCTCCAATACTCACTGCTCTACGTAGAAACGTAGGAGCATCGTACAAGACTCGACTCGAAGCAGTCGTACGATTATCCACGCGATATATACATCGATATGTACACACACACAAACACACACACACACATACACACACACACAGTATATATATAATATATATATATATATATATATACATCATACATATATACATCGTATGTATCCGCACGTGCGCGTTTGCGAAAAAGCGAAAGAAGTGTCGGGAAACGAGAGGCAATAGCTGAATCAGGCAGGACATGCGGGATAAATGTGAGAAAACGTAAAGAATCTAACCGAAACAGCAGATATGCAGATATAATAAAAAAATAATCAGTGGAATTAACTGATAATACATTACGTCGCGTATTGAATATCTTGATACGGTATTTTTCATCGATAGCGAGTTAATAGATATTAATTATGTTAATATGTGCGTTATCTGTTAGAATTAGAAAGCATTCGTTTTCTGTCGTTTTGCTCATTACTTTCTCATGACAGAAAATTACTTTCTCTGAAAATGATTGCGGGATATTTGCGAAGTGTCCACACGCTTTTTAATTAACAACTGCCTTTAATTAGCAGATTGCACCAAAATGCACGTATCAATGTTTCCCGGGCTACGCTTGATTGTTATCAGAATAGCGGATAATTATATCACCATTGTTCGATTATGTATAAGGTCTCGTCATTAAAGGTTTCAACGAGATTAAAAGGATATTCTTCTTTCCGCGCACGAAGCCGATAGACATCTTTATCTCGGTGTCCGCTGAGGAAAAACGGGAAACGTGATTTGATTTAGTACAGAGAAAAGTCGCGGCAAAATTCGCACATCGTGATTCTTATTTCTACATAGAATTCTACATGGGAATCACATATATCCATACATGCGTACATACATAAACTCGGAGAAATTATATATCGTGAGATCGAATGCACCATAAATAACGTGGCCCGTAGCCGCTTCCATGATTTATCCTCATATAATTTCAATGCTTCGATGTCCGATAATTAAAGAGTGGCGACCATACAATAGATATTCGTATCTTAAACCGCAGCGTCGACTATATCCTTGTTAAAAAACGGTCACTGAATCCTCACACTAATATGAAATATGCAGAATTATAAATTTCGCTATGGGTACATTTAAAAGGTACTGCATATGGAAATTTCATCGTCATGACAATATGCTAATACAAATAAATGGATCCGCAAGGGATCAATTTGCAAATGATCGTAGAAGCAAGGGATTGCCGTATCCTGCCGATCGATATTTCATTCTTATAATCAAACAATATCGTGAGACGTCTGTATTATTTTTTTTTCATTCTTTTATGACAGCCCGACTCTTATTTCATTCTTATTATTTCTTATTTGTTGATTGGTATGGCTAGATGAAGTGGCACGATGCCAAGAGACGCGGAAGCAATAAACTGCAAAAAAAAAGGGAAAAAAGAGGTGCAAAATATCGCGTGAAGGAAAAAAAGCTCGATGACGATTCTATGAAGAATGAAGAAGGCGATGGAAGAAGGACGAGGAACAGAACGAGGGGACGAAGAAGGGCGGTCGACAGTTGGTCGTCGGAATGGTTTGGTTTTGCCGGCTCGGTAAAGAGACGGAGAAGGAGCGATAAGCGATCACGCGCGGAATGAAGGAGATAGAGCGCATACCTGCGCACGAATGTTTGGGCAAGCCGGAGAACGAGGATGCCGAGGAGATGGGAAGCTTTAGGAATGGAGGCAAGGTGGAAGGCACGGCCATATGCGAGCGAGCTTTCAGCGCGAAAGCTGCCGTAAAGCCGGCCGTTTCAACGAATGTTAGGAATATCTATCTCCACACAGCTAAATCCAGCATACACATTGTAAGAATAGGTTGAATGGGGATCGCAGGGTGGGTCTAAAGAATATCGAATACATATTCCTCCGGCGCGCGTTGATCTTGAGAACGTTAGAGCCTCTCCCTCCCCTCCACCCCTTCCTCTCTCTCCCTCTCTCTCTCTCTCTTTCTCTCTATCTTCCTCATCTTCATCCGTTTATACAATATCGCCTTGCTGCACTTTCGAACTTCTGATCCACCCCCGTAGATCCATGAGCGGTATCGCCGAATCGGTGTCGTGTCTTTTCGAAGTCAAAAGCCTGGAGGAGGAGGAGAGGCTTTTATCGCGCGTTTGATAGGACCTATTGAAAGCGGATACCACCGTTCGACGAACGATCGACCTGTGAGACCGATACGGTTCGGCGCTTTTTATCGCACAACGTGTCGCGGAGACACGTCTTTAGCACCTGTGCCTCGCTTCCGCTTTCCTCGTCAAGTTTATTATCACGAGATAGTTATCTCGTGGAAATGTACAAAGAATACGTAACGAACACGTTGCGTAATTACGTCTTGGTACTGATTGCGATCGTCCCTATTACGAACGCGTCTATCATTCGTTCTGAATTCTCCGCATCGGCACATCGCAGATTTATGAAGAAAGTTTAGGCAGCTGTCTTATTCCCGCGCTACAAAACAAAGTGTGAATTCATCGATCTCCCCCGCATAAACGTTCGACCCGTCGCGATGCGCGATTAGGAAGTTCGCGAGAGAGAGAGCCTGCTCGAAATTTCGACGATAGTCACGGTGGGCACGTCAGCCGTAAATCGTCGTTACTGAAATTGGAGCGCGTTTTCACGCGGTCACAGAACGGGCCAAAATGGGTTAGATAGCAAAGCCTCTCTGTCCCTCGATACAACGACGCCCTACAAAAGTATGAAAAAGTTTATTACACGCATACATACGCGTGCAGATCCACACACACACACACACACACACACGCGCGCGCGCGCGCGCGCGCGCGCGTTCATACATGTCATGTGCGCTACGTCACTCTTTATATACCTTTAATCTTTCGTTTCTTTATCGACGAGAACTGTGAATTAATACATTAATTTCTCGATAACGTTATTGCGCAGCACTTTCTGCTCTATCGACGAACGAATCACTGTCACAGTCGGATTTGAATTCAAAAACGAGTTAAACTGGAGCTGGACGTGTGACACGATGCCTTGTCAAGGGAATGGCTATCTATATGCGGAAATATTGCATTTGAGTTTTATTCGACGTTACACCATATGTCTCTATTCTTTTGATGCGTTAAATTTCGCAATGAAATATTTTTTTGTCATAATTTAACTTTTTTTTTTACACTAAATCTATATAAAGAATATGAATATTTTTGAGAATTCTACAAAGATATGAAATAACTATTTTTCATTTGATTATTCACACGTTACATATGAACTATCGGATAAAAAAGCTTGTCAATTTTTTTGTAATATTGGAAATCAAAGTTGGTAATTACGGTATGCTTTTCAATTTTCGAGAAATTTTTGATTCTCAGTATGCGACAAGAAAAATCGTTGTATAAAAGAAAGTAATTTGATGTCTTCTGTCTATTGAAGAATTAAGCGCCTGGAAATAGTACGGAATGATTGCGTATTATATTTCCACTGTCGTCTTTTATGGGAGATGCTATTAAACTGCATAAAGTAATAAGATATCATTTTCCATTTATATATTTTCTTTGTCTACAATCTCGCGCACAATTGCAACGGAGAAAGTGATCCTGCAGAATAATTTG